GAAAGGGGACCGGACTCTGACTGCAAGGGGCTGTTGCTGGGAACAGAGCACAGATGAGCACGGGTGAGCACATGTGACACTGGTGAACGCGGGTGATACAGATGAGCACGTGTGACACATGTGAGCACATGTGACACAGGTGAGCATGGGTGAGCACGGGTGAGCCTGAGTGAGCGTGGAATAAACCACATCTGCCCTGGTCCCTCTGCTGTCAGGGTGGGCCTGGGCTGGGTCTCTAAATTCCCTCCTCCTGGACTTCCAGGGTTTTGTGGAATTGCACTCACCTCTGAAGATGGCCCTATTGAACGAAATGCTTCTGGGCCATAAACACCTCCTGGAACTTCCTGGCTGGTGTGATGGGGGAACCCCTGGCTCCCAAGTCTTCAAAACGCAGGCCTTTAGGTCTCTGCCTTTGTCAACTGTAAAGCAGTTGGCTCAATCATTTCTCCAGCCTCCGTTTACCCATCTGTGAAATGGCCTGACAAGATCCCATGTCTGAACCCAGGAAGATGCCCCGCATCTAACGGAGGGCTGTGGGCTTGCCTCCGCTCATGCAGGAGGGCAGTGAGGGCCCCTGGAGACGGGCTGCCCTGGCGAGCCCAGCCTTCGACAAGAGGCAGCAAAGCCCAACGACAGCAGAGCCCCCGATGAGAACTGGGGTTCAGGGTAGCTGGAGAAGTGGTGCCTGGAGGCCGGTGCTGGCACCCAGTGTGGCCTCTGCACATCAGGTGGGCATCGGTGCCCTCTCCTGCCAGCCACAAGCCAGGAGCCCAGGAGGGAATGGGGCTGGGCAGGCTCTGGCTGGACGGAGATGAAAGCACACAGCTCACAGCATTTCCCATTTTGCAAGTGGCTTCCCTCAGCCCTCGCTGCTCCCCCTCCAGTGCAGGGACCCAGGAGGGGCCGAGTCCAGCTCCTCCACGCCCTGCAGCGTGTGTGCGCACGCGCATGTGTGCGTGCGTGTGTGTGCGTGCGTGTGTGTGTGTGTGCGTGTGTGTGTGTGCGTACATGTGTCCGTGCACATGTGCATCTTCACAGAATCGCCAGAGTTAAATGACAAGTTCCTTGAGTTCCATTCAAAGCTCACAATTAACAAGCTCCTGCGATGGGGAAGGGGAGAGGGATGGGAGGGTGGGGTGTGGGGGGGAGACTGGGACTGAGGAGCTAGAGATGGAGGCAACATGGCTGTCCCTCAAGGAGCTCAGTGCCTCATGGGAGAGACACTGAGGCAGCTACACCCACATCACTGGGCATTTGGGGAGCAGACAAGCTGGGGGTCCAGGACAGGGTTCTGGAGGAAGGGGCAGGGGCTGGAGTGTGGAGGATGAATGAAAGCTCGGCAGCGAGAGGAAGGGGGCAGAGGGCAGGTGAGCAGCGTGAAGAAGGCGCGCGGGGCTCAGACAGAGCGGGCACCCGGCCTGAGCCCAGAGGCGGCAGCTCAGGTGACACAGGGGAGCGCCAGGCAGGGCCTCGGACGGTGCAGGGAACCCGGTTCAGGTGCTCCAAGCCCCGGGCAGTCACAGCCACACACGTGTAGCTGCTGGTGGACGAGGACGGGGTCTCGGAGACACCCTGGGCAGGCTGGTGACCATGACCACAGTCTCATCCTTCAGCTCCATGACCCTCGAGGTCCCAGACTCAGCTCCTGCCTGCCATGCCGGGCCCGGGAGTCACCAGTGGCTGCAGAGGCCTCGGACCACGGCGGCACAGCGGGCCCAGGATGTTCACCGAGCAAGGAAGGGGCAGACGCAGAGGCCGCGGGGGGCTGCACAGGGTGGTCCGTCCGGACTGGTTCCCAGTTGGGCCAGTGGCCGTCCATCCTGTGCTGGGTGAGGAGGGCCCTCCCTCTGGAGGGGCAGGCCAGTGAAGACCCCGCCACCAGTTGGAGGGACAGGCTGTGCTCAGACACGGGCTGGCTACACAAGTCCAGGGAGAGCCGCTGCAGGTGCCGAGGGCCATTCCGTGTGGGGCTGTTTTCTCCTCTTTTTCCAGGTCAAGCCAGCCCGGTGTTTCCTACTTTACCCAACAGATTCCACTCCAGGGGCCCTCCCACAGGGAGAGGGGCCACTGAGTCCCACCAGGTCCCTGACCCCTGCGCGACCTGACGTTGCATCTCACTGTCAGCGACCCGGGCTCTGCTGCTCGTCATGCCCCTGCTGTGCGGTCAGTGCCGGAGGCCCCTGCTGTGTGGTCAGTGCCGGAGGCCCCCCTGCTGTGCGGTCAGTGCCGGAGGCCCCTGCTGTGTGGTCAGTGCCAGAGGCCCCTGCTGTGTGGTCAGTGCCGGAGGCCCCTGCTGTGTGGTCAGTGCCGGAGGCCCCTGCTGCGTGGTCAGTGCCAGAGGCCCCCCTGCTGCGTGGTCAGTGCCAGAGGCCCCCCTGCTGTGCGGTCAGTGCCGGAGGCCCCTGCTGCGTGGTCAGTGCCGGAGGCTCCCCTGCTGTGTGGTCAGTGCCGGAGGCCCCTGCTGTGTGGTCAGTGCCGGAGGCCCCTGCTGTGTGGTCAGTGCCGGAGGCCCCCGCTGTGCGGTCAGTGCCGGAGGCCCCTGCTGCGTGGTCAGTGCCAGAGGCCCCCCTGCTGCGTGGTCAGTGCCAGAGGCCCCCCTGCTGTGCGGTCAGTGCCGGAGGCCCCTGCTGCGTGGTCAGTGCCGGAGGCTCCCCTGCTGTGTGGTCAGTGCCGGAGGCCCCTGCTGTGCGGTCAGTGCCGGAGGCCCCCCTGCTGTGCGGTCAGTGCCGGAGGCCCCTGCTGTGTGGTCAGTGCCGGAGGCCCCTGCTGTGTGGTCAGTGCCGGAGGCCCCTGCTGTGCGGTCAGTGCCGGAGGCCCCCCTGCTGTGTGGTCAGTGCCAGAGGCCCCCGCTGTGCGGTCAGTGATGGTGCTGAGACGCTTCTGGGTGGAGCCAGGGACCGCTGGGAGCTCAGTGACAGGCCCGTGTCCCTTTTCTTTTGCTCCCCCCTTTCTCCTGTAGAGGAGGCAAAAGGCCTGGTCAGCTCTCACCTGGAGTCACTCAGGCCGGCTCTGCTCTGTGCCCGGCTTGTTGGGTGAGGGCACACCAGGTGAGCTCTGGGTCCCACTGACAGGCTGATGATGACAGAGCGTCCTGGCAGCTCTGCCCTCCCTGCAGCGTCTGCCTGGCTCACAGAGCCGCACGCACCGGCCACAATGCTGGCATCCAACAGCGCGTGCTGGCGAGGCGCAGGCAGGCCAGTGCCCCCGGCGCTGCTGGCCGGAAACTGTGGAGTTTCCTCAAAAATTAAGACTAGAGCTATCGCCCTGGCCGGTGTGCTCGGGGGTTAGAGCATTAGCCTGTGCACCAAAGGGTCTTGGGTTCAATTCCTGGTCAAGGGCATGTACCTGGGCTGTAGGTTTGATCTCCAACCACGGTCAGGAGTGTGTGCAAGAGGCAGCCAATCAGTGTGTCTCTCACATCGATGTTTCTCTCTCCCCCCCCTTCCCTTCCACTCCATCTAAAACCAAAGGGAAAATATCCTTAGGTGAGGATTAACAAAGCAAGAAGAAAAGAATAGAGCTGCCACTTGATCCAGCAATCCTACTCCTGGGTGTTTGCTCAAAAAACAAAAACAAAAACAAAAACATTTATTCATAAAGATATGTGCACCCCCATGGTCATTGCAGCATTCTTTACAGTGGCCAAGACATGGAGACCCTGAGTGTCCCTGGATGGAGGACTGACAGAGAAGGTGCGTGCCCCAGGGACCTGCCAGCCATGAGAAAGGGGGAGGCTACATTTGTGACGGCATGGATGGAGCTCGAGAACGTCACGCTAAGTGAGGTCAGATGGAAAAGGACGAAAACCAAGCGACCTCACTCACACGTGGGGCAGGAAACTGTAGGCAGCGACTCAGGCACTGTGACGGGGACGTCACCAGAGGGAGAGGAGGGAGAGGAGGGAGGGGAGGACCAGAGGGTGAAGGGTCAAGTACACGGTGATGGAGACTAGACTGTGGGTAGGAGCACATGGGTGTCATATTATGACCTCGTTCCTGAATTTGTCATTCACCCAATGTCACCCAATACGTTCAATTTAAAGAGAGTCACTGGCCGGCTAGGGAGACCGGCCGCCACGCCCCTCCGTGCCTCCTGCCTCCTGCCTCCCAGGTCTTACTGCACGTCATGCTGACACCCTGCAACAGGACAGGGAGAGGGACATGTACACAGCGACCAGTTAGGGGACCACCTCTCTGGGCCGGGCTGGCGTCTCACTCCGCCGCCTCTAGCTGCCGTCCCCTCATGCCCCTCTGGTGACAACTCAGATTCAAAAACCAACTGCTCCCCGCACACCAGAGGAAAAACCAAACCAGCAAAACCAACAGATCATTTTATTATCATCGTCCTCTACCAGAAAAATCACTAAAAATCTCTCCGTATAAAAGCCTATGATCCGACGACTGGATGACCAGGCAGTGGCTGTGATGTGCACTGACCACCAGGGGGCAGATGCTCAACACCGGAGCTGTCCCTTGGTGGTCAGTGCACTCCCACAGCCAACCTCCTGTGGCCTCTCCCCCCGCCAGCCGCCCCAATCTGCACTGGGCAAGACAGCCCCAATCAGCCCCGATCACCGCGAGGCTGCGGGACCCCACCCATGCACGGATTCATGCGCCGGGCCTCTAGTATAAATATAAATCTCTAAAAATTCCTGGACAGCTCTGCAACCTTCCTCCTCTGAGATGGGACTTAGGACCAGGAGCGACCTGCAGAGCTGCAGTCAGAGGCTGGGTCTCCGCGTCTTGGTGCATCATCAGCCAAAACCATAGTCCTGACCCAGCCCGACTGCTGACCCAGCCCCTTCCTGAGGCAGGAGAGTGGACGTGGGGGTCAGGTGTGTGTGGCACAGACAGAGAGACACCCCCAGTCCCTCCCCAGCTCAGCCAGCAGCAGAGGCCCGCAGGAATGAGGTGAGGGCCGGTCGGGCTCTGCTGGGGATGTGGGGACAGCGGGTGGGGGGCGTGGAGCTGGGGTGAGGGTGGAGGAGACCGCAGGGGGCTCTACTCAAAGGACAGCAGGTCGGGGTGAGGTCCCTCGCTGTCCAGGCTGCAGGTCCGCGCCCCGGGGCGGGGGCTGCTGTCCGGTGGCAGCTCAGCCGGGCGGCCAGGGCAGGGGCCAGGCTGGAGGCTGCTGCTTTCGGCGGGGCCGGGCGGGGAGGCCCTCCTGCAGGGGGCGCCCTTCAGCCGGGGCTCGCCTGAGCCCTCCGGGTGGATCAGGTCGGGCACCGACAGGGACGCCTCGCCGTTGGGCAGGGCGCCGTCCACGGTGGCCTCCGGCGGCGGCGTCCCCGCGGGGCCAGGCTGCGCGGGGGGCGGGGAGCACTCCGGGCTGCTCAGCACGGGCTGGGCGGAGATCAGCATGTCCTGCGTGGTCTTCAGCGCCCGGGGCGTCCGCTTCCGGCCGGTGGGCGGCGGCGGGTCCAGCCGAGGGACGGCTTCTGGCAGGGCCGACCTGCAGGGGTGACAGTGACGCACCTGCCTGACGCCCCCCCCCCCTCCCGGCTGAGATATTGCCCCGCCGCCCCCCTGCAGCACCCGTTCCCGCCCTCCCTCCCATCGCAGCCTGGGGCTCAGCGCTCCAGCACAGTGGCTTCCGCTGCGACATCTCGCTCAGAGGTCAGAGGTCAGAGGTCAAAGGGGGCCTGAGGACCCGGGTGGAGGGAGGCACTCACCCGTCGTCCGCCCCGCCGGGCGCGCCGGCCAGCTGGGCCTCGGCCGTCCAGTTGACCTCCATGGCGCCCACGCCGCCCAGGCCCCAGGGCTCCCTCCTCCGCAGGAGGTCGTTCACCTTGGCCCCCATGGCTTTGCCCAGGTTCCACAGGTGCTGGCTGCTGCCCCCCCAGAGGCCCGGCCCGCCCGGCTCCACGGACCCCAGGGGCTCCGACCGGGACACCTGGGGCCCAGAGAGGCTGGACGGCGGCTTCGGGGGGAGGGACGCGCTCGGATTCTCAAACATGCTGTGGCCCGCTGGGAACAGACAGAGAAGGTGAGTGAGTGGAGGCGTGCCCGCCAGCATGCCCACCACGCGCGCCCAGGGCCCGTAAGGATGTAGGGACCTCAGGACAGAGCCAGCAAGACCCCCACCCCCCCGTGCGGTCCTGGACGGGACATGGGACCGGAAAGCCTGATCTCCCCGCCCAGCGAGCGGTGACGGCTGGAGCGGGGAAGGGCTAGCCCACCCCTGGAAGCCGCCGCCCAGACTCACGCTGTCCCCTCGCCAGGGCCACGCGCCCCTGGAAGTGAAGGAAACGGGACGAGCCACGGGGCGGCGCTCTTTCCTCCGGAGAGCGGGGTGAGCCGGTGCCTCGGGCCTGGCCAGCACGGCAGGCGGCAGGCGTGGGCGCTTCCCCAGGGAAGTCAGCTCTGACCCCGACCCCCTGCGCGCTCACGCCGCCCGGTAAGGAGCAGTCTGCCCGAGGCGCCGAGCGTGACAGCAGAGGAGGAGCCAGAATGCGGCTTTCTCGCTGGCTGCTTTGCCAGTCCCGGGCCCTCTGCTAGCACAGCCACTCAGCGGGCAGGGCTGCCTCCTTCATCTCTGGTCTCCACCAGCGGGCCTGGCCTTGCACACAGCAGGTGCTCAATAACTATTCTGAGTTTAATTCTGAACCCTTTTTGCAGATGGAGAAGCGTGGAGGCCAAGCGTGCAGCTGCAGGTCTGTAATGAGCGCGGCTAGAACTCCCCACGCCCGGGTATCCTCCCCCGCACTCCCGCTCACACTGAGGCGGCCAGACGGGGCTCTGCAGGCTGGGGAGAGGTCTGGCTGGCCCAGCACCTCTGCGCCCGCCTGCCCTCGCCAGGCCGCCCTCAGACGAGCTGAGGTGGGGGCACCCTTTTCTCTGCTGGGTCCTGCAGGAGCACTCTGAGCGAGCACCCTCCTGACCAGTGACCTGGGAGGCAGGAGGCGCCTGTGGGAAGAGGCGTGGAGACTCTGACCAGGATGGACTGACTGCACGGCCTTGACCTCTGAAACGGCCCCTGACCCCTGTGCAGGAAAGCATGGGGACCTGAGGGCGTCCCTGGGAGTGTGGGGTGGAGACTCCTGGCAGGAGCTCCCCGCTCAGCCCAAACGGCCTCCCCCGCGGACCTCCCTCTAATTTGCCTACCACGTCCCACATCCCGTCACCTTCTGTATCCACGGAATCTGCACAGCAGCAGAGAAGGCGGCAGGCTAGGCGTTAGCCTGTTTGTTTCCACCAAACGGGGAGGGTCTGGGCCACAAGTGTGGGAGGGCAAGCCCCCTGGCGCCTGGCCTGCCCTCGCGCTGCTGACGTGCGTTGCCGAGCAACCAGCTAGAAAGAAGCATGCAGTGCTCTGCAGACTGCGGGGCTGTTGTTCCTTCCAAAACCCTCTCCCAGGAACATGAAGTAACCGTGGCCAGGCGCCCGCCCCGTGTCTCCCGCGCTGTCCTCAGAGTGTGCCATGGGCTCCCGCACGCCCCTTACAGCCCTGAGCCTGTCTGATGGCCACTGAACCCTCAGGGTGGGGCTCCTGCGTGGCTTCATTTTCTGCGGTGCCCAGCACAGGCCTGGCACCCGCAGGCATTGAGCAGCTGGTGCCACCGGATGGGGTTTTCACTTGACACTTAAGCTGCCGCACTACGAGCTGAGCCTTTCTCCGCTCCTCCGGGTGTCTGCAGGGTCCTGGGGCCGCCCAAGAAGCTGCCCTTCTCCCCACCATGGGCTCTGCGGGGCCCCCCACCCACACCCGTGAGGGGCAAGCAGACCCCCCTCCGGCTCACTGATGACCTCACTCTGTCCCATCTCGCAGAGGCTGGTGGCTCAGAAAAGGGCGGCGAGGGGACCCGTGGCCCTCCCGCACCCAACATGCACATACGTCTGAGGACAGCGATTCGTAAGAAAGACGGTCTCTTACCTGTGCGACCGAGAAAGGCTCAGAAAGCAGGTGGGAGCAAACAAGAGAGAGAGTTTATGTAGACGGACCACTGACGTGCCCGCTCCGGCCTGAGCCGCCACAGGCCGCCCAAGGCAGAGTGAGGAGACAGACCCGCAGTGTCGCAAAGCTTGGGGCCAGCTCCCACCAGCTCCTCCAAATGAAACCAAAGAGCCGCGCTTAACCCCCGGCGCAGCAGGGCCGGGCTGCCACAGCTCCTCGCACCCGGGCTGAGCGCCCAGCGGCGGCAGCGGCAGCCGCCTCATCCCCTGGCCACGAGCATGTCACTCATTACCGGATGTCTCTGCCACTCCCAACTGCCAGACTCCAGACCCGGGGGCTGTCTGTGCCAACACCCGATGTAACACGGGGCGGGAGCCAGGCAGGTGCTTGCCCAGCACACGAGGCTGAGGGTGGAGCGGAATGACAGGCCGGCTCCCCCTCCTGGGAGCCACGGCCACGGCACAGGCACCGGCTCCCACCACACCGGCTTCCAGGCCCGGAGCCACGGCCACGGCGCAGGCACCGGCTCCCACCACACCGGCTTCCAGGCCCGGAGCCACGGCCACCTGTGGGCACTGGCTCCCATCCACTGACTCCCAGGCCAGGAGCCACTGCCACGGTGCAGGCACCGGCTCCCACCGCACCAGCTCCCAGGCCCAGGCGGCACCAGCTCCCATCCCATCAGCTCCCAGGCCCGGAGCTATAGCCACGGTGCGGGCACCAGTCCCCACCGCACCGGCTCCCAGGCCCAGGCGCCACGGCCACGGTGCGGGCACCAGTCCCCACCGCACCGGCTCCCAGGCCCAGGCGGCACGGCCACGGTGCGGGCACCAGTCCCCACCGCACCGGCTCCCAGGCCCAGGCGGCACCAGCTCCCATCCCATCAGCTCCCAGGCCCGGAGCTATGGCCACGGTGCGGGCACCAGTCCCCACCGCACCGGCTCCCAGGCCCAGGCGCCACGGCCACGGTGCGGGCACCAGTCCCCACCGCACCGGCTCCCAGGCCCAGGCGGCACGGCCACGGTGCGGGCACCAGTCCCCACCGCACCGGCTCCCAGGCCCAGGCGGCACCAGCTCCCATCCCATCGGCTCCCGGGCCCGGAGAGGTGCCGTCCTGCAGACGTTGGTGCTGAGCATGACCCAGACCGGATGGCAGCCCGGCAGCCACAGAGGCCGGTGCGCCCACACTCCGCTGCTCCCCAAGTGGGCGAGCTTCCTTGGCACAAACGTGCCCTGAAGCGCGGCACGCACCGAGTGGCCGCCCTCACAGTTGCCTGGAACGGGGTGCCTCCAGCTGACCTACAAGAGGCCCTGCCCCTTCCCCTCTCACAGTCCCCGCGGGCCAGGCTGCCTGCACAAGCAGCGCGGAGTAAAAGCAGACGGACCGCCACTTACCCCCCCCTCCCCGAGACGACGCACGAGAATCAGCGCACAAAGCGGCTCTGAGGGCGAGGGCCTCCAGCAGCCCCGGGAGGGCGCGCTGTGCACAGGGGAGGCGGGGCCGCAGAACAAGGCAGAAGGCGCCGTTCGGAGGATCGGGGACAGGGCCTACGCATGTGCGTGGTACCAGTTTTACTTTCACAACTTTTTATAAAGAACATAGGGAAAACATACCAAGACTGGGAAAACCCCGGACGCTGAAACAGCAGACTCCACCGGCGAAGCCCGGCCGAGGTGGAGCAGGTGTGGAGAGCAGGGAGGACCTCAGAGGACAGAGGCCCCCAGAGCTGGGAACGAAGCGACATGGAACGAAGGAGCAGAGTGGCCACAGACAGCCCCACGGGGGCCGGGCCCTGGCGCTGGGACCTCCATCCGGGCAGCTGCCAGGAGCCGCAGGTGGGTCGTCTGGGAAGGGCAGTCCTTCCTGCCACGGGCCCTGAGCGGGGAGCCACAGTGAGCGGAATGCTGGGGCCGCTTGTGAGGTCACCTGTGCTCAGAATGCTCATCGCCCGGACAACCGGGAGCCTCCGGGGCAGGCGTGTGAGCGTGCCCGGCGACAGGCAGAGTATGGAGAGCTTCTCGCTCCTCAGCATCTCGGGGCCCCGGGTCTCCTCCTCGGCCCTGAGCGCCTTTCCTGACCTCATGTCCCCACGAGGCCCCGGCTTGCCAGGTGGGTCCTGCCGGGACGGCCACAGAAGCGCAGGGTGGAGGATGCTACCAGGTCTGCCACGGGACCGCCCAGGGCACGCTCCCCACCCCGCGGCTCGGCTCAGGCACCGAGACGCCTGGCCGGGCCGAGCAGGGCCCTGTCCCGGAGCTTTGATCCAAGCCCAGCCACCAGCTGACGGACAGCGGGTCCTGCTCGCTCTGCTGCGGGGGGATGTGCCCAGAGAAGCCGCCTCCTGGGGCCACGCCGCAGCCACAGGCCGTGGCCAGACCCACAGGCAGGAGAGCAGGCCGTGTTTCACTGCCACTTGGTGCCAGCGCCCGGGGGGCCTGGAGGTCCGTCTCGGGGGGTCCAGGAGGAGGACACCCCCCTCGCTCGGCTCTAAGAGCATCTGCTCTGTCCCCAGACATTGCCAAGACTGCGTTCCCCACGGACGCACCCAGCCCAGCGCAGGCCCCGCTGCCCCAGCACCCGAGCAGCGCTCTGCGGCAAGGGGTGGTGCTCTCGCCAGGTGAGCCCCCGGGGGTGGGTGCCAGGTACCAGGTGAGCCCCGGGGGTGGGCACCAGGTGAGCCCCGGGGGTGGGCGCCAGGTGAGCCCCGGGGGTGGGTGCAGGTGAGCCCCGGGGATGGGCACCAGGTGAGCCCCGGGGGTGGGTGCCAGGTGAGCCCCGGGGGTGGGTGCAGGTGAGCCCCGGGGATGGGTGCTAGGTGAGCCCTGGGGATGGGCACCAGGTGAGCCCCGGGGGTGGGTGCAGGTGAGCCCCGGGGATGGGTGCCAGGTGAGCCCCGGGGATGGGTGCCAGGTGAGCCCCGGGGGTGGGCGCCAGGTGAGCCCCGGGGATGGGCGCCAGGTGAGCCCCCGGGGGTGGGTGCCAGGTGAGCCCCGGAGGTGGGTGCAGGTGAGCCCCCGGGGGTGGGTGCCAGGTGAGCCCCGGAGGTGGGTGCAGGTGAGCCCCGGAGGTAGG